AAGTTTAAGGACTCACCCAGCCAAAATGGCCACAGAGAAGCAGCCTTTTCTCTTGCAAGGGAGAACTCAAAAGTTCTCGCCCTTCTGGGTGAGATTGTAAGAGTTTTTGCACAGTTTCCAGTTATTGTTTTTTGCATGTTAATTTGTGAGAAAGCATCTATTGTGCAAAAGTCATACTTGTGCAAAGTTCAATGTTCAGCATTTGTGGGCAAAAAGTGATATTCTTTTTTTGTTGAAGGATGGAAAAACCTGCAGCATTTGATAGTCTTTTTCTTTGAGGACTCTTAACACATCAAAGGCCCCTTTCTTGCTGAGGATAAAAATGTTCTTTGTGTCTATGTCCCAGTATTAATCATGTGTAGAGTAGACCCACTGAAAGCAATGAGGCCTCAGCTAGTTATGACTACTTTTTTGTCATTGATCTCCATAAATCTAATCCAAGCATGACTAAGCTGGCTCCAACCCTATATTTTACCCCCACAAAGTCATCGGTCTCTGTAGTAGGGATTAACTTCATCACTCTTTTTTTTTCTTTAGTAAAATCATAAATAATTTTAGTAATTTTCTTCCTGTTGTGAGAAAGACTTTGAAAACCTCACACCTTACGAAACCTATTTGCAATTCAGAACTTAAATTCTGTACCAAATTCACATGTGCTCATTTTTCCCACAAACACAAAAATTCTACACAGAATGCACTTTTTCTGCATAAGAATAATATTTCCACACAGAAATATTTTCTGTCCAGAAAAAAAAGCTCTTTCCTGCACATAAAAAATGCTGTTTTCACATGAACATTTCACTTATTCTGTACAAAAAGTCCCAAACAGTGAAAATTCTCATCAATCCAGGATTCTTCTCATCAGGGTTTCTCAAGATTAAAAAAACAAAAACCATGATTTTCAATCATTTTATAACATTTTGAAATATTCTTTCCATCCCTAATCCCTGGCTCCTTACCTCTTGATGGGATGGATTATTAGCTGTTTATATTTTTCAAAAAGATTCTTCAATTGCAGAATAAAAGAGCACATACATTTGCATGTTAAAAAAGCAATTATTTGATACATTTTGTGCTTTTCAGGATCATTCCCTTAAAACTAGTGAGTGTCCTTCTCTGTACTTGCTCCTCTTGGTTTAGCCATCATCTGGTTTTACTGACTATTTTTTTTCCAGTCCCAGAATTGGGTCTAGTTACCTCCCGGACCCATAATTCATGAAGTAAGATGTTTTTCTTTTGATCCTGACATATGCAACATCCTGTTTTAGGTACAGGATGCTGTGAAATGCCGAGTGGTGGATCGTCAAGAAGAAGGGAATGGAGATTCTGGGGGATCATTTCAGAATGGACATGCTCAGCTCATGGTAGGATAAAGTGCCTCCTGCTCTGATGATGTCTTCCAGGATTGATGGAATTCAGAGACATTGCCCATGGTAGTCTACAATATCACTTTCCAAAGGGATCTTGTAGCATCTTTGAGACTAACTGAGTGAAAGACATTGTAGCAT